TTTGACAGTCACTACTTCCACAGAAATAGTATGTGCAGATCTTCCAGGGTCTTCCTTACCAACCCCTCCATGACTTGGCTCAGTAAGATGGCTACCAGACATGTTTTCTCCTGGTGACTGACCCATGCTGTATTGTGGTAGGTAGGTCAGGTGCAAGATACCACTTCTGTCTCAGTCTGGCTCCTTGTATTTTCAAATTTTTAAATATAGGATAACTTACAAATACTTGCACCTGTGAACGTAGACAATTCTTACTGTGCTTGTCCACCTCAATGAAAATAAATGTATTATAAGTATTTATGTGAAACAATTATAGGACGGGACCAGGAATTAATACATTCACACCAACATCTCTGCTCATTATTTCAGAAATACCTTGTCAAAGTTCTTGCAACTTGAATCAAAAGTTGTAGTCATAAATACTGCCTTGCACGTTCTTGAAATCTGATAGCTGACTATTACAGTTAACAGAAAATATGGACAAGAATCAAGTGATGTTGGCTCTCAAGTCACAGAAAGTGACTTTCATGTTAATTCTGTTCATTTCTGGATAGAGAGGAAAGGTAAAATAGTCAAGAGAAGGCTTTGGTTTCATAGGAAAGTTAGGCTACTCCTGATCTGCATTTGGTTAAGATCAATTTTGGTCAATGTTGTAGGCAGATTTATTACCCATTACCTTTATTTCATTGAATATTTACAGCTATTTAGTATGTTTTATGTAGACGATAGGAGTTTAGAGCCCTGTCATCTTGTTCCGATCTAAACTCTGGAAAACCACAGTATTGATCTCAGTGGGGTTTTTCTTGTGTATTTTAATAGCAGTTTCAAAACAATTTCTGCAAATTGACAGTTGAATTTGTACATGAACAAAATAGATTTGTGATCAAGCACCGATACTTGCTTGAAATCTAAACCAGCTTCTGTGGCTGGAAAAAAATTCCTAGATAGACAGTAAAAAGCCAGACTTCTTGATAGAAGATAATAGAAATATTAGTTTAAAATAAATAATTTGAAGATGAATGAACAAAAATGAAGTCTCAAATGATGACATAGTAACAGCTTAATAGTTTATCTGCACTCATTGGTATTATTTAGTTATCATAAAACAATTGAGTAGGAATTTATGAAAGGACATTAACTTGTAAACATCTTTTGAAAATTATCTCATAGAACAGGGAAATGAGACAGGATGAGGAATTAGGGGAAGAACAAATAGTGATGATATAAAACTAGTAATTTGTGATCTAGAGCAAGGGCTTACTATGGAAATGCTTGATTTGATTGTTAATGAAATGAATTAATAGTGGCAGTTGACTAATTTCTTACCTTTGTAGAAGAAGCATGCTTGAGAAATGTAGTGTTCTCTGCTCCTGATGAAAAACTGGCTGTCCTGTCCCAGAAGAAAGATTTTTCAAGCCCAGTGTGCCTTTTCCAGCACCGGCCAAAAACAGGTGCTTGAAAGAGTATAAAATCAGAGCAAGCATGTATGGTGTTTCCCCTGGGTACCCTTCAGCTATGTGTGACTCAGAGGCTTCTTGAGCCAGGCATGACATTTGTATTTTGTAGCACTCAGTGGGGTTTTTTTCCACAATTTTGAACAGGTTCTACTAAAACCCATATAAACTTCTAGCATCCAGAGCTTCCCATTGCAGGGAGTTTGGGGCATCCAGAGATAGTTATGACCAGTCAGGAAGGCTTGCCAAAAGTAGTAAGGGTGCGGGAACATAGAAAAGGGGCAAGTTGTGGGACAATTTGATGGTAGCTGAAACAGTTTCATGTTGCACTTGAGGAGTGAACGGGCTTGGGGTGGCTCCCAAGAGGGAACAAGCAACGCAGTGGGAGAAGGAATCTAGGTTTAGCTGTTCTGTTTTACACAGGTAGTCGTGAGGACATCCAGTAAGGGACATGACGTTGAGCAAGTCAGGAAAGGTGGAATGGATGGATGAGAGAGTTTTTCTTTCTGTGTAGACAGAAGTCCAGTCTCAGCAAGTCTTAGCAATGAAGAGGTAGATGCGACAGACCTTGGCCATAATTGGAGTCACAGTAAAGCTGATGTTACAGTCATGGGTCGTATTTTATCTTGCACTAGAACAAATTGAGAGTTACCCAGTTGGCTCTTTGCTCTTCTACTGAGCAACACATTTTACCCCAAGCCCTTTTAACAATTAGTGATAATCTTGTGGGGCAGGGCCACATGCAGGTGTTTTACCTAATTCAGTATTCTTGTGCCTGGCTTTAGTGTATCTTTAGCTAGTCTTGCAGCTTCCACTTTACCTCCTGGTGTTTTACTGGGTGAATTACAGCAAGTGTGCTGATTTAAAATGGGAAAAAAAATGTCCTGTACATGAATTTCTAATTGAATGCCAACCAAAATGAGCTAAATGAAACAGACTTGTTAAATGAAGAGTTAATGGACTGAGCGTGATCTGTCTCTGAGAAACTTGAAGGAAAGTCATTACACTTTATTATTTTTTCATCATGTTTGTTTGCCTAGGCTGGGTGTGTGCTTGTACAGTTTTTGTGAGTTCATTAATGGGTTAGCTTTGGCCACTTCTGCATAACAGAACAGTCATATACATTATTTGCTAGTTCTGATGCTAAGTAAAAATTATGGAAAATATCTTTGAATGTTACCTTCTGTTTCTTGCACACAACTTATAATTATGCAGTTATTTTTGTCAAATACAAAATGTCAGAGGAGGAGGTAGGATCACCATTCATTTCAAATGGAAATGATGCATAATTTGGGGAGCCTATTTTTTTTGTAATTTATTTAGTACTTTTGCCACGTGTCACTAATATCAGATGAAATAATATCAATAAAACCAGGGCAAATTAAGGCAGAAAACAGTTCAGTGAAGAATCATGTTGTATCACTGCATGATCATGTATATAATGGCCTAAGACCAGGTAGAGTCACATTCAGACAGCATAAATGATCCTGCTGCTGTTGACTGCAGTTTCTCTGTGACCCTTCATGTAAAGTAAGGACTTGCTTCTTTTCTTTCAATGAAGGTTTCATTAGTCCTGAAACAGCCTTTCAAAGCCAGATTTTCATCTTCTCTGCAACTGGCCTTTTACAGTAGCTGCCCTACTTCCCTGCCCAATTTACATGTGCACTTTCCCCACTTACATGAGAGGCTTGCCAAGTGTTCGAGGATCAGATTGTGTTTTCAATGCAAGGCTAGTCCAGGTCCTTGGATTTGCTTCTAATCCATGTTTTTGTTCACTTGCAGACTTCAGATGTCAGAAGTGCTTTTCTTCTAATGTGTCTGTCCATTGTAATCATGTTATTCTGCTTGAGTTAAAGCTCCCACTTCTGCAGTGAGAAAGATTTATCAAATTTTAGAAGCAGACCAGGTGCTTAGGTTCATTCTGCATTACAGATACAAGCCTTGTTTGAATTCTGAGGGGGTTTATTATTTTCCAAGACTAGAGACACATTTTGAGAACAAGAGCCATTAAGGCCTCTTTTTTAATCTTTCCTCCTTATTCTGTATTCCAACAATCTCTTTTTATTGAGGGCAATGGTCATATTTTGGCAGGACTTATCAGCAGTTGGATATATTGGCATATTGGAGGGCGTGCAAGATATAGTTCATCTAAGACAAATGTTGAATAGGTCAAGAAGAGATAACAAGGAATTATGAATGAGAAGTGGAAAAATAGCCAAGGAAAAATGCATAAGCATACATGAGAAAGTGAATTGGTACCATGTTGCTTCTCAGGAAGATAGGAAGAATGAAGAAGCAGTTACCCTTTCCCTTCTTCCTAACCTGACCTTAGGTAGTAATGTGCATCTTCTGCCTGTGCTTCAAGTTGAATTTTGTAGTCTGTAACAATCTCTGCAGTAGGTATAGAGGTGTGACTTCAGGTCTTTGTCTGGATCATGCTAAAGGCCATTCTCTGCTTATTCAGTTGTATATGGGTTGTTGGTCTTTCAGGCAGAGAAGGCATAGGCACTGAGCATGAATGTGGTCTGCATCCTTTCCTTATGCCCTGACCACAGAGTAGATCTGAATGAATGGAATTACCAGACATGACAGGAATGAACAAGGTGATTAGCCTGAAATTTGGGAATAAAAATAAGAAGTATTTTTGTCAAAGTAGCATTTAAAATCACTTAGGAGTACTGTATGAAATAAGTTTTGGTGTTCCAAATCATAAGATTGATGTTTCCACAGCTGGGTTTTTGGGCACCATGTGTTCTGCACGCCTAATTTTGGATACTTCAGAGGACCTCAATTTTCAGTGTCAGCTGCTCATCCTGCAGGGATCTATCTCACATTGTCCCTCAAACTGAGCACTTAAAGCAAGAATTCCCCTAAAGCAGACCAAAACTCTCTTTGTCAAGGTCTGCTTCTAATTCTGTGTCTACATCCTGCTTTCTTTTGCACATCCCCATGGTGGTGGTGAACTGCAGGGCATGCAAAAACATAGGGTTTGTACTGAGATTCCAGGACTCCACAGATGGGTTGTGTGGACACAACAGTGAAGTGTGGAGGCACTGTAAAGGGTTTCACCTCTTTGGCTTCAAAACCTGCTCTACCAATCTACTGAGGATATATATGGTAGATGTATCTTAGATTTGTTGCACTGCACTAACTTTGGCATCTCCTTCAGAGTCACAGCAGAAAAGGCAGTGAGCAAGTTAACTGTATTTGGCCTCTAGTCCACCAGCTGAGCCGCTCTCCTAAATGGTTGGTCACTGCCTCTGCTGAACAGCCAGTCCCCCCAAATGATCAGCTTAATTGCATCATCTCTCCCCCCCTCATGTATGCTTTAACATTCACCTGTGATGCAGATGGATGATAAAGCTCTGATTTTAATTTTAAGAAAGGGAGTGTTTCTGTAGTAACTACTCCCCATATGCCCTAATTTTTCTTCAAGATTATGAGGGGACTCCCCCCAGCCCAAAGTACAGGGCATTGTTGTGGAGATGAAATTTTTTAATTAAGTAGAATTTACATATTATTCATAAAAGCCCTCCCTATCTTAGTAGCTGTTTCCAGAACCTAAATGGTTAAAGTAGAAAATGTTAGTAATTTTGCTGCAAATAAATTGATCAGTATGCAAGACGGTTGTCACCGGCTGAATCATGGTCCACAGTTAAGGTAAACAGATCTGTGATGACATTTTCTGAGCAGAATACCAATGCTGCTACATTTCTTCCCAGAGGTTTCTGACACTTCTTATATGCGGATAAAATTTCTCTCCAAGAAGGTTTTGTTCACAGGAAAGAAATAGCATCTTCGTAAGTCTTCCTTAAAGGTGGGATTTATTATATTTTGTGATTTATTTGTTATCGTAATTCTGTTAAGAGCATGGAAAGGAATGTTTTTGCTTTTCTGCATATCCTCTCTGTACAGTAGATCTTTCTGATGTGGAGTCTATTTAAAGTATTTGGCAATGGAATGCAAGTAAAACAGTATTAACAGAGTTATCAGGAACAATGAAAATGTTTTATTTTTTATACTTTCTGAGAGTGGGCTCTGTTTTATAATCTGTGTAGTTAACATGTAAAAGCAATGAATATACAGCTAGATTTTTAGCATAGGTGTTTCTGAGAAATATTTTTGGCTACATGATGGCTTCATATTTTAAAGTAAGAGATACGATTTAGTTTATTCTTAAATGTCTATGTGCTAGTCAGAAAATCCTCTTTGCAATTGACTGCAATCGAAACCTTTTTGCCGAGACACATCTAACTCCCATCTGACTTTAGGGAATGGAAAAATACAGTTTCCAAAGAAGTTTTTGAAATCTGCTTTTTTGGAACATGTAAAATCTCTGTGTACAATGTTGTTCATGGGAGAGAGGGCACGTTTGTAATTCTGTATTTAGCCTTTGATCTACATTTTCTTGGAGGTGATTGACATCTCAGTCATTCTATGGATTAGCAGTTGGAAATCTGTCACATTTGTATTGATGAAAGTAGAATCTTGTTTGTTTAATCAGCTGCTGGTATCTGACTTTAATCCTGTTTATTACAGTAGATACTGAAGGATAAAAGAGCCCTGTGGAGAGCATGCTCAGTGGTACCTGACATGTAATATCAAACCTGGAACTGATCGTTAAAGTTAATGTCGGGGATTCAAAGTCCACTGAAGTCAGGGAAGGGATTTCTCCATCAGGCTTCAGATTTAAATCTGGCCCTGTCCATGCCTGGCATGTGTAGGTGAGGGGGTTATAGCCTGGGATGCCTGAGTGGCTGAAAACAGTGTGGTTAATAGAACCTTTTGTAAGATGGACTTGCAAAGTCTTGTCATGCACAGTGTCTGGTTGTATTTCAAAGCTTCACGGCAAGATGTATGGCTGTGGTTTGTGGAGAGGACCAGAGGAGGAAACACCATCTCCGGAGCGGTGTGATGCAGGCTCTGAAGATACCTGGCCAAAGAGCTGCTCTTCTCTGGGGGGTGTCTCAGTGAGTCGCAAATTTGCGTCAGAGATGAGTTAGAGCTGCATTTCATGTGGTGGATCTGGGCTGGAGGTCCAGGTTCATCCTTGTGTGTTGCACTATCGAGTAATTCTTGCTGTGATTGTGGTTCATGTGCACTTTCAAGGTATCCTTGTGCAGTATTTAGTTTGCTTCTTGTGTTTTGCTTTATGAACTGCACAGTAGCTGTTTTTTCTACAGATCTCTGTAACAAAGTTTGAGATGAACATGGAATTTACTGGAATAAATCCCTGTATTTTATCCCTGTATTTTTAATATACATTTGCAGATTCTCTTTTATTTCAAAAAGATCCCTGAATATTTTGGGGGTGACCTAGATGCAGCACTGGAGGAAAGCGTAATATCCAAGTTTGGAATGTTCTGCAGTGAAATTAATTCTGGACAGAAATGGAGGGACTAATTCTGCTGCTTTTACACTGAGCACTGATACTGTCCCTGGATTAGTGTGACTCCTCAGGGATCCCCAAGATGAACATGAGTATTAGTGGCAGGATCAGGCCTGTGCCCAGGCATGACAGCAATAAGACAGGAGCTGTTAAGTGTCATCTAACTGGAAGAATATCTGCTAAAGATTTGTGAGTATTGTGCTGGGGTTTTATTTTAATAGAACTTCTGTGTTCTTTGGGAGATCGCTAGGTAACTTCCTAACTTTGAAATTAGATAATGTGTATATTTTTGCAGCACCAAAGTGATTTCTGTTTGACACTAAGGAACTTCTTTTCAGTGTTTTTTTTTCAGAACACTGCCTTGATGGTTATAGATGATTTTCATGAATATTCAGCCTGACCTGGTTTTGCTTTCTGAACATTATACTCCTATGCTTATATTTTAATTTTCGGTAAAGTAAGAAACACTGGTTTTATTTCTGTTGGCAGGAGGAAAGTCCACTCTCAGAAGGTCCAATTTCAGAAAGGGAACAGCTTGTTTCCTAATGTTTGTTGCTGCTGAAACACTTCTGTGAACATCAGTGTTAACATGTGTCTGGACGTGGGTGTAGATGAGCCTGGAAATACAATCTTTGTGACTGTTGACCCAGCACACTTTTTTTTTTCGTTTTGTTTTGGTTTGTTTGTTTTTATTAATATATATAACCAACTTGACACCTCCTGCTTCTGTAGTGCTGGACTCTCATACTAGCTTAGAATAGCTTCATTTACTTTCAGGGGGGTTGCCCTAAATTTATGTTGATGTAACTTTACACAATTGCAGGTTACCCTTCTGACTTTTTTTTTTTTTTTAATTATTTAGGTCTGTGTCCAATGCACACTCTTTTTTAATTTTTATTTTTATTTTTATTTTCATTTTATTTTTTTATTAATGGTAATAGGTTCTCTGAAGTAGCTGTCTACCACAATATTTCTGTCTGAGATTCCAGTCTATGGACGTCTTTTTTCCACTGTCTCTCTTGTTTTCTTCCCTGAGAATGCACAGACAGGTAACTTCTTGGGTGCTTATAGAAGCAACTGGCTGTTCAATCAGATTTTTCTTCTGGTTCTGCCTTCCCAGATCGCTCCTCAGTTTTTGAGATAACATGTTTCTACTTTTCTGACCAGCCCTTTTTTATAAATGTAAACATTTCATCAAAGATCTGGTCCTTTTAGATGCTCACGGATGAGTAGAGATGAAAGTAATTCAGGAAGCAACTCAGATCCATTCCATCGTCTACCCAGAAGTTCTTGCAGCCTGCAGCAGGGATCTGCTCTGTTAGTGAGTAGGGTTTTCACAGCCACGGTCTAGTGCTTATATTTCTGCACAACCATCCAACTTTAATACAGCTTCTAACACAACACCCCATTGGCTGCAGCTGAGCAATGGCATCGTTTTGTCAGCTCTGTCCCTGAAGTCCTCTCATAGAGAGCTCCGGTGTCACTGTTTGTACACCGAGACTGTGCGTGAGGTGCTTCGCCACTTCCCTGGCTGCTCTCGCTGAGCCAGGACAGGTTCTGGGTGCTCCATGGTGTTGTTGCCCTTGAAGTTGCTTTTTTTGCTGTATTTGCCATGTGGCTTGAAAGAGACCCGATCCCATTGGTTTTTCCCTCTGCAGAACTCTTAATTCTGTTGTGTCAGGAAGGAAATCCTGGAAAGTTGACTGCTTTTGTTAGAAGTGTGTGTCCATCCTTGAGGGTTTTATGAAAGCTTCAGTAGGTCTCTGACATGGGAAACTGTGAAGTGGAAAGGTAAATTGGGTGTCTTTACACACTGATGTATGTGCAGGTCTGTCACACCTTCAGACTGTTGCATAATAGAAAGTTTTCTGATTTGAAGGGCCTGAAGCTTTCTTCTCTCTTAGTTGAGCTTTCACCTGGATTAATATCCCCTGATATTTTTTTTTCTTCTTGTGCTTATATCATGGAAACAAGTTGTTGAAGACATCCTTTTAGAGCGGTCAACTTAATGAGCTTGGTTTCATTCTCCCAGGACTGTGGAGCCATATTTAAAGGCTATTTTGTGCAAGAAGTTACTTTCTTCATTGCACTGTTTTTGATGTGCCATTCTAGAGATTAAGGATACCTACACAGTAACTTTTCAGCTTATACCCTGATAGACAGATGATCTATTTGTTGCATAATATTTTCTTTCAGGTGTTTTTGGACACTTATATAACTGTGCCTGTGGTTTGGCCATTCCTGTAGCCTTTTGGTTTTTTAAAAATTTTTTTTGTATAAAAAATACAGTTGATGGTTTTCCTTACTACTTGAAACTCTCAAACTACCCTTCCCTCTCATGTCTTCATACATTAAATGCTGAACATAAGAGCAGAATAACAGCTTGGTCTGTCTAGCCACAACAACCTAAATAGGACATCTGACCATGTCTTCCTGAGTTGTTGGTGGTGAGAGCAAGGGACCTATAGAAAGAGGTTTACTCAACATATTTTGGATGTATCTCTAAGCATGAGATGCATAATAGTGCAAGGATAGTGTTTTGTTTCCCGTTTAGTGATCTATAAAGTTACCTTAAAGGATTAGCTTTGACTTTTAGACTTTTAAGAGTAGATGAATCCAACCCTTGGCCTGATTTTTCATCATCTTTGTTTTAGATTGAGGAAAATGAGCTTAAAATAGTGCTGAGAGTTGATGTGAAATTGTTTTACTACTACTACTTAAAAAATCTGATCTCCTTGATGATCCATACTGAAATGTGTTTCTGAGTGACAGGGACACTTTGCAGGTAGATTTATTATGTTTTTTACCATCTGTTTTAATAAATGAGTGAGCAGAGCATTTCAAAATGACCTTCAATTCTATCCATGAAATGTGAGTTTGAATGTTCCAAGTAAATTATTGGCGTTAGACTGTTAAAGGGTGCTTATTCTAGAAATAGTGATTTACCAGTTGTTCGGATGCTCATGCCTTTATTTGTATGGAGATATGCTAATATACGTTAATGTAGTGTTTCCACATAGCAGCAGCAGCTTTAGGCACAGCGGGTCATTCTGTGCTGTGGTGTTGTAGGCAGAGGTCTCATTGTTTGTCCTTGCACACTTTGTTGAAAAATACTGGATGATTACTGTGCTCTGTTGCTTTTTAGTTGAAAAGGAGTTAATGAAAGTAAATGTACTAGAAGAAATTAATGAAATCAGTGAATAGATAAAATGTTATTGTTTGAAATGCATAATATTACATAATGTATTTATATAAAGTATGGCAGAGATGAAGTGCTCTCCAGACAAAATGAAAGAACATGTGTTCCTTCTTTTGTACTTACCTGTTGGGGAAAAAATAGGAGGGTTTTTTAACAGATTTGCTTTCCATTAGTAAATACGTTTATCTGTAGCTCCAGATACTCTGCCAAATTAAAAAAAAAGATAAGTTGGAAGGAGGATGCATTTTCTTTCAAGATAATTGTATGTTGTGACTAGATTTTAGTTTCAGAGTAAAGTATATCTACATTTTAGAAGTTTTAATTGCTTACACAGTTTACGAGAGTTGCACAGAAGCAAAACATGCCTAATCCATGGGATAGGAGAAAAGGGTATAAATATATTATTTTCCACTTTTCTTTTTTTGAAGTGTAATGAACTGTTATTAATAGGTTGTATTAATAGGTTGTAAAAGTACTTGCCATTAGCAGTCTGGAAACTGTTGTGTAAGGTGTGCTCTTGCTGTTCCTCAGATCAAAGTTTTGAGGTTTGAAGATCTCATTAACCTGTGGCTATACCCAGAGCACTGGCTAAGGAATGAATATCAGCCTGGATTTTGGGCTCAGTTCTACTTTGCAAGGCACCATGCAGAAATTCAGGAAGCCTTGAAGCTCTGCTAAGTTGAGTCTGGTCCTCTGAATGCCACCAGAATATAATAAAAACCAGTGTCACCTCATAATTCATCCCTGCTCTGAACTCTTGACCTCAGTGGTAAACTAACAAGTTTTTGAAGTTTAATTTTTTTTGGTACCCTGGTACCATGATCCACAGCTTCATTTGCTTTGGGAATGCAGCTCTGCATTTCTCTACAGGGTAGTTTAACTATTGTAAAAGGTTGTTGGCCTTCATGTGGCATCTCCTCTGAGAAGTAAAATTAGAAGTATTAGGTAAATTGAAATACAGAGGTGTACCTACCTGCAGTTCTATCTGTCTCCCAAGGCACTCATAATGGCTATTGACAGGACTGGACTTCTTTCAAGGGAGCTGTGAATCTGCTTGTCTTTGATAGGAGAGGTTTACTTTTCCTTAGAAATTAAAAGGAAAGATTTCTCTGCTTATTTTTTGAAAAGGCCTTTCTCTAATGTTGTCATCACAGGTTTCTGCTTGATGGTAATGAATTAAAGTCTTCCCCCCTGTTCCCTACCTCTGCATTACAGAAATGGCATCAGATATTCCTGGCTCGGTGGCCTTGCCTGTGGCACCAATGGCAAGTGGACAAGTGAGAATGGCAGGATCCATGCCTTCCAGAGGAGGAAAGCGCCGCTCTGGGTAAGCCATTTCTTTTTTTTTCAGGTCTGAAACTGGAAATGCCTGGTATTGAAAAAGTGCAAATGCACATATATGTGTATGTTTATCATGTAATGTTTATTATGTAAACTACATTTTGGCAATAGTCACTGATGTTTTTTCTCTTCAAAGTATCTGCAGCAATGTATCTTCCTGCAAGATCAAACTTGCTGATAAGTGTATTGTTTGTTGTTTTGTATGTTTCAAAAGACTTTCAGGTTTGGCAAAGCATCCAGAAATGGAGTTTGGATCCTGTGGCTGTTGTGCATGTAGTCAGTGCGTATTACCTACATCTGTTTAGTCTCAAAAGGATTTATCATGTGAATGAAGGTAGAGAGATGTGTTCTTACTTGCACATGCAGACTTATCCAACTTAATCTGAAGTTTGGACTTGGAATCTCTCACAGAGAGGCCTTCTGTTAAAAATGTCTCAGGTACAGAAATAGCACAGGCAGTCACTCTTCAGGGGTTGTGGTTTACGATACTCTAGGTCTCTCTGGAAATGCAGCATAGTCTGTTTCTGGGAGAAAAAGTCTGAATCAAGTTCAGCCCTTGCACTGACTTGAGGGCTCTGCTAAAGAAGAAAATTTGTTTTATCCAACTTCAGATGTTGGTGTGGTGTAGGGATAGTTTTTCCACATCACATTGCTCTGTGGCAACTCATACTAATCCTCTGTGTTAGAAGAAAAGTGTAGCAGGAGCTTCAGAAGAGCAGAAAACTACTCTCTAGTGTTAACAAAATCCCCCTGTTTTTATTAAAGATTGATCACAAATAAGTCTTTAGGTGATGCTTTCTCAGAGATACACGATCTGAGAGTGTCTGCAAAAGAGATTGATTAGTCTTATATTTAGCCCTAAATATGACAGTGGTAGGGCTTAAACAGGATTGATAGTGTGAGTAAAATCTTCACTGACGGACACCTAAGGAGAAGACATTATTCCTTGCAAAAGCTCATCTAGGGATTGTTCACCAAGGTATGTTGCCAGTTTCAGGTGTCTGCTCAAGTAACAGTGCTGGAGTCTCAATCCTGGAATGAATTAAGAAGGGAGACGGTGGACCTCACCTTGGATGTAGAGCTAAGTTGGTGTGACGTGAATGCTCAGGATGGTTGTTCCGAGGGGGTTCCTTCAGACAGGACAGTTTGGAGATTTACCCCCACTGAGTGTGCTTCATATGCTGACCTAACTGTATGAAACTGGTCTGAGGAGCTCCTGAAATCTGTCTTTGACAGGCGTCGCATTTTTAGTTTGAAACTCTTTAATGAAAAAGCCTTTTCAAAGTTGGACTCAGAAGGGAAAACAAAGCATTAATATCTTTTCATTGCTACATAATGTATATAACCATTTGTACTTTTGAGTTGAAGGATAGTTGATCTCTTTTTTAGCTCATAAACCATGTCAACTGTGAATACCAGTTTTCAGATTACTGTTACCAAGGGTTGATGCTGCTGACTATGAAATCTTCTGATTATATTAAGTACTGACATGATATTAATTGAAAGCTATGCTTTAGCCGTTGCATTTTAAGTATCATCTATTTGTGAGAATGTGGAGTGGGGGGAGGGTGGGAGGAACATGAAATCAAATTATTTTAAATGTATTTAACATGCAAATTCAGTGAATAATTTAGTACAGATTTGCTGTTACACCCAGACAGTGGTATTTTATCTGTGCACCATAGCTCTGAACTAATAGCCCTTCTCCAAGCCTGAGCTGAGGGTGCATTTTTTTTGTTTTGTTCAGTGGGTATGCATTCAGACCTTGAGGGAAAGAATGCCTGCTGTGTCTAATTCCTCCTTGCTTCTCTGTGAACAAAGTTGCAACTAACACTTGGTCCTTTCATTACTGTCCTGGTGATACATCTTTGTACACCTAAATCCTTGGGCATTTTAGAAATGAATGCTTTGTGTCAAACATAAAGGGATGTAGGTAGTGAACACAGTCATCTTTTCCAGCTTCAGTTATCTCTGAAAATTGTTTCTTTTCTCATAATTGCTGAGGCAAGCTGGCAGAATAATTGCTGTATGGACTTGAATGTAGATCAGTTCAAACTCATTGGCTATCCAGAAGGTGTTTCTGCCGTGTAGGCATTCAGCTTCATTGACAGCTCAGAAAAATATTTTTCCTTTCTATAAATTATACCAAGTACTTTATAGAAAAAAGTGTCAGCATAAGATAATGTACTGCAGTGGTTGATGACTACCCTAGATTAATATCAGTTCTTTATTTAATGTGTTTTTTCTTTAGGCTTTGCTGTATTAGAGGATATGGGGCTTTTTTACCTTCCTAGGTTAACTGTGCTTGGGGAAGGAGGATTAGCAGGTTTTTTTTTGACTGATTGGTTTACAGTTGCATTGGGTTTGTTTCAGTCTGGCGTATAGTCTTTTTTTTCTGACCCGGAACTGTAAGATGTAGAGAGATATGGGAAGGAAGAGACCATAGCCCACTGGCCTCCCTCCCCGGTTGTACCCCCTGATATTGTACCGAACAAAAGGCTGTAGTACAGATCCCCATCTGCCTCTCAGCTGCATCTGCTCCTGATCATTCCTGCTTGCCTCCTTCCTACGCTGTATAATCATGGCAACCCATCTTTTGACGTTTCTTGGGAATTTTACGTAATAATTTGGTTGCAATGTTCAAATCTTCTCCCATCTCTATTTTTTTAACCTGTGCAGGACCACCTTGGTGGAAGTTTGGGGTTTTTTTTGTATGAAGGTGTTTCTAATTAAAAATAAATATTTTTTTAAAGTATTTTTGTCATGTTATTTATGATACCCACACATCTTTTGAGGAAAATATATTTTAATAAGTGCCACATACATCAGGCCTTTTCATGATTGACATGAACAATATGAAAGAGGAAAACAAGATTTATGCTGTCTCTTCAAAACAAAAGAGCATAGTGCAGCTCTTTTTAAAGTCTCTTTTTAATGGGAATTTTAAATCAAGATAGAAGATACTCTTCCTGAAACTTCTGAAATGATGTAATTTGTCTTCTTAGAAGCTGCTTCTACTGTTTTGCTAATGTGCAATATAGTCTGTCTAAACAGAAGATCTTATCTGTCAGGGTATGAGGAGTTTGTTGGAATGTTATTTGTATGTGCTCTGGTAAAGGTTACAACTGATTCCCTATCTTTCACTCCACCTAACTGTAAAACAGACACAGTAGTTCAGGCAGGACATTGGAATCAGTGACTTTATACCTGAGATTTTTTTTTCAGCTTTTGAAAGTGTTTTTTTTTAATTTTGTACAGTGAAATGTGAAATTAGAAAATGTGTTTATTAACAAACATAGGACAGAGATACATTTGCTGTTGCATTTTTATAAGTATTGACATTTTAAATGAACTTTAATGTCCAATTTCTTTTTTTATTACCTTGCATTTGGAATAAAGTCAAGGTTTTTAAGTAGTTTAACAAAGCAAAGACATCATTAAAGGTATAGTTTGCTACAGTCTGGTACTGCACCCTAGGCATTCAGATTCTGACCCCACTACTAATGTGATAGGTATTACCTATGGATATTAACCCATCAAGATCTTCTAAGATGAGAAACTTATATCCAGACATCTAGATAAATAGGTGTGTTACTCCCACTTACTGCTTTGGAAGTAGGTATACAGCGTGCACAACAGGACCGAGCCTTAACTGTCTCCAGCTTCTCTGTAATTCTCTGTGTTATATTACAGTGATAATAAGCTAGACTAAATGCTGGAGAGCTAATATTTGATGGGGGGGGGAAGGTGTGTGGAAATCTATCCCTTAGCACTCAGCTGAAGTATTCGGCTGGAAGCTAAGAAAATCTACCAAGGCACTGGATCTCAGTGTATTGGAGTTGAAAGAAAGGAGTTATAAAATTAATCCATCCCAAATTAAATCAGCGTCTTATTAAATCACTGAAGAAAAGGCTTTTCCCCATAGACCTATATATTTTCTGCAGCCCTTTTCCCCCCGCCCCGAGTTTGAAACTGGAGGTTTCTCTCAGTTGTATTTCAGTTGCCAGTGAAACCAGTGACAGATATGCCTGATGTGATGTCTTTGTGAGTGGTTTCAGGTGGAGCCAGCCCAGTGCTGGCCTGAGCGTGCCTTCTGCTTGTAAACAAACAGCTCTCCTCTAACAGTGACTTGCATATTTTCGGTGTCGGTAGAGACATTGCAATTGAAACAACTCAACAGTTTGTTCTGCAATGTCACCTACAGGCACATTATTATATGTGGGGACGAAGCAGGTAGTTAAGAGGAGACCTTTGGCTAGATGATAATGCAGAAGTGTTGAATTGCTGGGACTATTGTATATGCAGCAGGTCTGGAGAAATTCAGGCTGCTGGTGCCAGCGCTGAGGCCGCTTCGGGGTGACAGATAATGCTGTGCCGGCTGCATCCTGGCTGGGCTGCAGGCCCGGTGGCGGGAGCGAGGGTGATGGCCGCTGGAGGTCGGTGGTGGTCTGCGCAAGGCAGCAGGGAGGTCACAGGCTTTGAAACCGCATTGGGTGATAATTAGATGAGCAAAAACATAATTTATAATGAAAATGATGATTGCATCAAAAAAAAACAAATTAAATGCGTATCTTTTCTAAGACTCTTTGGGGAAAATAGTTTTCTCTCTGCTTCCTCCAGAAATGAATAATCACTATTGCCATCTGGAAAATATTATTGTGGCTTTTCTAATACCATTTCCAATTCTTGTGCTTATTTGCTGCCCTCATCCTGATTGTACATAGATTGCTGTGACTCAGACACATCTTTTACAGACCAGTCTGTCTTGGTTATCAGTTAGGAATCAAGGCAGAATTGCTGGTCTGGCACTCATACTTCTCTATGCTGATGTAGTTTCAGAGAGCATTTCCCACATTCTGAACATACAAATCTGAATTTTTAATTGGTAGGTGTTTCTTTTAATACTGAGATAGAGGTTATTGTCACTTTGCAGGGTTTTTGCATTTAATATGACTTATATCTGTTGTTAATATGAAGAGAGTTAGAGACATGGAATCTTCAGTTGGATGAAGTTTTATTACACTGAAATGTTAGAAAGCTTAGAGTGTTAAAGAAAACCGACAAAACTGTTTGCAAAACAGAACTGTGATTTCCTATCTACAGAAATTTAAGTGACTGATCAATGTATTTACTTACTAAATTAAATATGCTAATACAGTAATTGTATATGATAATTCTAGATCAGATTGATTCTTAGGCTACCTTAATGGCAGAGTCATCCCCTTATAACTGGGATATATGTTTGTCAACCTCTTTTTAAAGGTTTAAAAATCTCTAAAATGCTTTGGAAATTATACCATTGCATAACTTTGTAGTGACTGAATATCAATGAGGAGACAATCATACTGCCTAACATAGGGAACTAATTTAGGTGGCTAATTTAGGAAGTTAATCTTCCTAATCTCTCTGTGTAAGAAGTGAAGAAAGAGGTTCCTGCTTTTTGTGGCTCCCTGGAGGAGTCTAACTGGAGGGCTGGGATTTGGCCCAAGGAAGGGCTCATCTCTTCTGCTGATCTAAGAAGAAGGTCTGGGACATAAACCAGGTAAGTTAGGTACACAGTAGATCCATAGATCATTTTAGTAATGACCACATGAATGCCACAAAGTATTTGCTTTCTGCAGACTGACTGGCAATTTGTGTGAAATGATTGGTAATATAGGGCAAGTCTAAAGAATATACCACAGTTACAATCAATAGCAGTGATGTAGATAATCCTCTTAGCAGGGAGGCTGGGAGTTAATTCTGCTCTACCTCTAACATGCTTTCTTTAGACTAGGGCTGGTCTGCTGGCCTGCTGTTTATTATGTGTACAGCTTTAGAACTTTATTTTCTTTATCCTTAATTTTAGTCCTCTAACAGAGTCCCCACTGATTTCTGTAAAATTCTATCAGGCCTAAGAGATATTACTTCTGACCATCTCACAAGAACTGCATTTGTTTAATATTTCATTTTATTTGTTAATTTTAACAGTGAAGATTTCTGTGGAGAAGAACAGTGATTTATTACTTTATTTTTTAAAAAAACTTGTATTCTTTGTATTCGTGGCATCTGGTGAGCTACTTTTAGGGGGTCTGGAGAATATGAGCAAGACTGGAATCTACAGTCATTAACAGCTCTGGTCAAAAAATAAATCAAACAAGGTTGAGAACCACTGGCTTGAATGTTCATGTTACCATTGCCAGCATCATGTTTACTGATTTGGAATTCTTGCCTTTACAGAATGGACTTCGATGATGAAGATGGGGAGGGTCCCAGCAAATTTTCAAGGTGAGCATTTACAAAGAGTTGGCAAATCACTGACTTCTTTCAGTGCAGAAAGACAGCCGTCTCACTACGGATGTTTTAAAGTCAATATGAATATGGCTGAAGAACTTGCCAACAATTTGACCTAAATTCTGGTTACTGTTTTTATCGGCTTCCTCTGCAAATTAGGCATCCTGGCAGAAATCTGCCTAATGTAGTTATTGGCTTGCAAAGCTGATAGTGTGTGTGTCATAATTTTGCTCTGCAGCTATGTCAAATAGAAAATTTATGATTTTTAGGTTGTTATTTCAACTGCTGTAGATGAACTTTGGTTAGACGTTGCTGAAGTTGTCTTTTTGCCACTGAAAATGAACTTTGTGTTGAATTTATTTCAGATGTTAAGTGCTTGTTAAGACAATATGACAGATCCTAGAGGTGTGGATTGTTTTTTTAAGATTAAAGCTCATTATGTACTATTAGGTGTAACTGTTTAGTAAAAATTGCCAAAAAAAATGTTAATTAACATGGAATATTCTAGTCTAGAAATAAAAACAAACATTAAAGCATCATTGCCATTTTTTCACTTTTCCTTTTTTTCTGGTCACACTGTTTGCATTTTTTCATTAGAAACCAAGCAGCTGCAGCGAGGGGTAGATACTTTGAGGCCTACAGATAAGTGCTGATTATCCAAATTGTAAGCAGCAGTCATGTTAAAACACAGCTGTCAGCATAGGATTTTAAAAAGATCTTCCAATCAGTCTGAAAGATAAATATGCTGAAGACGTGTTGTAACACCATATCATGACCTACTGGTCAAGACCAGGCAGCACCTCTGTTTAGCTGATGTCGTTTACAGAAGGGATATTCCATTCTCTGGTGTTAAAACTTGTGATCTGAGGGCTAGTCATAATGTCTGCTAGAAGATAGTGTTAGGGGAGCAAGATTTGTGATGAATGTGACCTGATTTGTGCCTGTTAAATGTCAGGGTTTCTAGGCACACTGGTGCACGTGCACTGGTCTCTTCCTGGCTTCAGCTTTTCAAAGTTTGGTGGTGGAGAGAGCCAATAGTTCTGCTATTTTTATTGAAGAGGTATGCTGTGCTTAGACTCAGTTGATTTTAGATGTCAGATCAAAATCTGATATTTAGATCTTAGATGCTGTAAAAACCCCAGAGTGTTCTGCTTTTAGAGAGTACAGAAAAGCAGTGCAGAGACGTCCAGGGACATGTTCATACATTCTCTTCTAGCTGTGCCTTCCTTTTAGGACTTTTGCCTTCTCCAAGTTGCTCATGTGATTGACTCCTAGCTTGTCTCAGTCAAAATTATTTGGTTAGCAATGAACTGCTGTTTAAATGTTTTAGCTAAAGCAGCTGGTTTTGACTGAAGTGCTTGAAGAAACATGCACGCAGAGAGGTCATCGGGGAGACTGGAAGGGAGAAAACAGTAGTTGGAGGTAATAGTATCTTTAGCTCAGCCAACCAGACAGGATGAGTAGACAAGCCCCAAGCTAGTGGCAGCACAGGAGGTAGTGGTGTTAGTACGGTACTCCACGTGAGTTAACACACCTTGCTTCTCAGGGACTTCCAGGCCAGCTCAGGTACCTCTGCATGGCATCTCATCGTCACGTGGAGGCGTTGCATGTACTTTTCACATATTGGCATGTGGCCATTCTTCACTGTCTTTTTGTTCAAAATTTTTTGGGCTTAGTCTGTTCTGTGGTCAGAGTCAAGTGGAATAAAGTGGTGTTTTCACTTGAGTGTTTTGAGGGTGCTGGTGTTAAACATGACATAGAAAGAAATACAACGCAAGTTTTGCTTAAGCTTTGTCTTCACTGTTTGAATGAGTCTTAGTGAGGAGGGAAAACATGAAACCTCATAGAGGAACTTACACAGTTGGGGTACTTAAAATTCGTTTAATTCATTTGAAAAGAAGAAAAAGTTTATTAGTTTTTTAGAAAAGTAAATATGTTTAATTATGCTGTATTACTTTGTTAGCTAATACATGGGACCTTCATAGGCTGTCTGTTGTAATAAATTACATAATTTTGGAAAGGCATAATTCTAATACAAAATCTCCCTTGACTATTCTTGAGCAGTAATACTCTCCACTTCTAGAAAAGCCATTAGACTTATTTTTTTATTTTTGAAAAACTACATTTTCTGTTTTGGAACACACAGTTTGGTTTCTCCAAAAGTAAGATCTTTTTCAAACAAAAGCATCTTTTTGTAACTAATGTAGCAAAATCTAATTTCAAATTTTTAGTATGTTTTTAGGAAAGGGGAAGGAGGAGCAGCATGTCATTTTTTAATGAAATGTCACATTGCTGCCTGTCTCTGGGACAGTGCTTCAGAAACAATGAAGTTTTAACCTGATGGGGAAAAAGTCCCGTTGATTTGGATTTCCACCATGCAAGTTGCTGCCAGTACACCGCACATACATCTAACTTCTGTTGATTTGGGTAGGAATGAGGTACCTATTTACTCCTAGGGATTTAAGCCAGTTTTAATTTCACTTCTATTTATCCAGCAGTTTCATCTGCCTGACTGACTTTTGCCAGTCTTCCCAACAGATGGTAGAGTGTCTGTACCTACTAGAGCTTTTTTCTGAAGGTGTCTATATAATGCCTTGCGCTTAAGCGGGTGCCCTCCCATGTTATCTGTAGACCATCAGTGCCCTCTGCTGAATAGAGTGAGTTGTGGTTGCAGTCTGGAAAAGATACAGCTCTTTCACTTCCAACACAGCAATGAATACTTCATGCGCTGCTGTCGATAAAAGCTCAGTGGTTTCTGTAGTGGTGCTGGTTGTTAAGTTTCCCAAGCAATAAGTGTATGTCAAAGTGTTTGCATAAATCCACTGAAATGTGTCTCCAACTTTTTTAAATATACAGATGAAGCTTTTGAATCGGCATGGCTTGGAAGTTTCATCAGATTCTACATTTTCTTTGCTTTATCATTCTCATGCCCTCATTTTTCTTGCTGTTATTTGTAATAGTTTGCAGTTGTGAACCTCTTTGCTTTGTGCTGCGTGTTGACTATCATGCAGTGCATAACCCTTGTGGATTTACTGACTTTTTTTTGTTTCTAGGTATGATGGTGATCAAATCTCTGGTGATAAGGAAAAGTTTGCAAGGTAGGCGTGTTCTGTAGAGCTCTTCTGCTGAGAGAAAAGAGGGGGATGTTCGTGTCCAAAAAATCTCAGTAGGTGTGCCATAGCTTAGAGAGCTGGTTATTTTGTTTCTAGGTGGGACAATGATCAACTGCTGGCACAGAAAGTCTAGCCAGGTAGGAAAAAGGAAAATCTAATATGGTTTGCCCCCATTTTTATTTTATATGAGGCCATTCTGAGTGATCAAAAGTCACAGGGGTTAGCTGATCAAGAAATGTTTTAAATCAGAAATACTAACACTGGACCTAAGTGGGTTTGGATCAGCTTCTGCAGTCTCCCAAAATTTAACATCCCTCCAAAATTTCCATATAGAAACAAAGTTAGAAATGACAGAATTAGGACACTATTCTGTATACATGTTTATGAATGCCAAGGCAGGACAGACACTTTTGGAAGAGGAGCACAGCCCCTCTTTTTCCTTTAAGGGTTTAAATTTGAACTAATTTCAGGGAAGTTTCACGGTTTTGTTTGCTAGAATGTTTTCATGGTCAGTTCATTAACATACTGTTACTTTTTAGCTTTTATGATCATAAATGAAATGGACTATTGGATATTCTTCTCTTTCTTCTCAGAAAGTTTTGAAATCTCTATTTAGTCTTTATAATGGTTGTTGTCAATGTCTAGGAGTACTAAAATATTTTAGTGGCAGACAACATAATATATATTTATAAATGTAAAATATATGTTGGTTATGTGTGTTGTTTGTGACTCTCTCTTTTCTTGTTCACCATTTCTGTGAAAATGCTGAAGTTAGAGCAGGCTTTCATCATGTAAAAATGCATTTTTCTTCCCCTTGTCCATATTTGCATGTATATGCTGACATGTACACACATGTGCTCGTATGTACATGTGCACTATCATACAAGCTGATTTGCTTGTGTATGTGTATACGATCCAGCTCCCCAAGGCACTGTTCTCTCCTACATTTGTGCAGACCCACCCAGAAGCTGTTTATCAGTTATTTGAAATTGAAAGATTCACTATTACATGTAATAGATAGTTAAGTAGTGACCTTAACCAAGGGACTGGCTGTAATTTACTGGATGACCATGGGCTATCATTGCAGGGAACCATAGCTGGATTTCCTGAGTATCAGATAGTAAGCATAGACATCAGTAGGAATAATAACTCTGCATGTAGCCTTAACAAGTAGTGTTTCTGGAGGCAATGCCTCATGCATATGACACCTATATGTGCAGTGGCAGATGTCACATTGTAAATCAGGGCAAGCCCATGCATTCCTCTGTTTCAGGAAGCAACATACTACAACTTGGATTCTTTCCTGACTTTTAAGAAAAGCCTCCATTATTAAACATAGACAAAAATTGTGCCAAGCCCAGCTTCTGCTTTCATGATCAGTCTTCGTAACAGTCAGCTTCAAAGAATGTTGCAATTTCTTTTAATGTTGTGTTATCATATCGGTCAATGCTGGTGGATTCTCCAAGTGATCACCTTTCACATCTTGTTGGATCAGCCAGCGATCCCACAAGAAAATGCCATGCACAACTCATTGAAATCAGTGGAAGATGCTGCTTTGACACCCGAAGCATCATGTACCTGTTGTGTACTTGTATTTAGCTGCCACCTGACAGGTACAGTATGGGAAAAATAAGTGCTAGGTACTGATGTATTGCAGGTCCATTTGGACCATTTCAGATGTATATACTGGTGTAATTCCTTAATAATTTTCAAGCAATGGTGATTTACAGTATGGGTAAACTCAGATCTTCAGTTCTGAAAGACTTTGGTGACTCTCCATTTTGAGAATTCTCAAATTTGACTCACCACTTCAATCATATGTTTGCTATAAAGGATGAGAACATTGGAGCTCAGCTTAAAGTGGGGCAGCATCAAGTACTGCCATTGTTATTTCCCTGCTGTGCTAGATTGTTCTTGAACATAAATTCTGATCTATGTCTGACAAGCCAGATGTTTACTTGCTGTCTTTTGTACTCATTTTATTTATTTACTGGCTGAGTGGTTGGTGTTTTTTTTAATGTACTGTTACACTATATATGGCCTCAGCCTGCAGTCTGATCCTGTAGGCATGTAGTGTCTCCCTACAGGGATATGGGATGTTCCACACAGCATTACAGGACTGGAGGTCTGTGTTGTCATTGAGTGGGCTTTTTTGTAAGTCAGTGCTGACACTTACTGCTGACCTGATCCTACTGATAGTGAGAGGTTTCCTCTGAAAGAGACCTTTTATAAGCAGATCCAACACCTTTAGGAAGCTGTGAGATGCATCACAGCAAATTTGGGAGTTTTTCTGGAGTTGGTAGTTGTCAGTTCCTCATATCCTTATTTAATTTTTTATCCTTAAACCAAAGGAGATTAAACTAGTTAAAAGATTAAGGCCACAAGCCAATAGCTAGAAATATGGGTTCTTTTCACAGCTATGGGCAAAACATAGTTATCCTTCTGTGGCCTGAATTTTCTTTCTATGAGGGATAATAGTGCTTAGCTTTGTAAAGCACTTTTCTCTCCTGGGGTGAAACCGGCAAAACGAGTGCGAAGTATTGTGATTCGTTACCTCCAGTTGAAATTCTTACACTGATCATGTCTGTTTTTCTGTTGATTTGATGTTTCTTTAAATGTTCAGGGAGAATCATAGTGAAATTGAGAGACGCAGGAGAAATAAGATGACACAATACATCACCGAACTGTCTGATATGGTACCCACTTGTAGCGCATTGGCTCGTAAGCCTGACAAGTTGACAATTCTTCGGATGGCCGTTTCACACATGAAATCAATGAGGGGCACTGGAAACAAATCTACTGATGGAGCTTACAAGCCTTCATTTCTTACAGAACAGGTAGATTTTTTTGAGGTGTCTGTTTTCTAAGTTTGTGGTCTTAAAAGATGTGAGGAGATGCTGAGAGGAGTAGAGTGTTAGTTTGATCCTTCGCTGTTGTGTAGTAACTGATGCAAGCTACATATCCAAGGTGTGAATACAGACAATTTTTTGTAACTGTTTGGACTTAACTATATGACAAATCTTTCTCTCTGAAGCAGCAAAATGGACATTCTCATCATTAAGATCTGTCCATCTGAAAAGCAAATCACTTGCTGCTTCTCATCCCTGGAAAGGAATTTTCACCTCCACAACTGGGTTCTTCCCATCCTAACAAAGATTCTCTAAAATATGTAAAAATTAATTTGAAAGGACCTGCCTTTCCCTCCTGGGTTTAGAGGAAGGTTAAAAACGTTGTTTAGTCTTAATGCCTAAGTTCCTGGCAGTTGAACTGGACAGAGATGAATCCCATCTGTACTGGCTGAGGTACTTCCTTGGTTACATTTTTGATGGAAGAAGGAAGATGCACCCAGTGCTCGAAGGAAAACTGTGTTTAACTGAGCACACTGAAAATTCCTACCTCCTTCATTGTTTTTGAAGTCCTTTGGGTGTAATGTGCATTTTTGTGGTCTGAATGATTTAAGCACTTACACATGTAAGTTATGGCTAGAGGCGATACTTCTTTCTATTAGAGAAACAGCAGCTGCTGCTGACCTCTCAGTCTTCACATCTGTACTTACTCTGGCTTTCCTGAAGTATGTTTCTGGAGGGACTGTGCCTTTCAACTGGTTGTAGGAAGGCCCCCTAGTCACTTCTCATTGCAACTTCTGGGGTTTTTTTGAACCTTTCATCATGACAGAGTTTATCTTCATCTTAATTATGTGTGCAAAACAAGTATTGTTTTCCTCCGTATAGTACAGCTAGCTATGCAGTGACGTTTTTTATTTAGTAGGTGGTTCAGAATTGATGTGCTTTCTTTAAAATAAAGCGTCAGAAGTTGACAGTCTGTTAAGTGTTTCTTCAGATGAGTTGCCCATTTCTTTAATAGAATTTACCAGATTATGATCATCACCTTAGCAGCTAATACCTGCCACTTGTGCACCAGCTGTGCTGAGCTGTCTAACCTGGAATGAAACTCAGATTGTCTAAAGCTCTCTGTCTTGAGTTCCAGATGCAGTATCTTAACAAGCTCTGGTGGTTACTGGAGCCATCAAGCAAAGGCTGTTGGAGCTTGTCTCCCATGAATTAAAGTGGTAGTTATTATCCTTTCCCATGGGAGGTTTTCAAGCTACTTCTAAGCAAAAGTAGCATTTCTGTATCATGCACACAAACACCCTTGTTTGCGTGTGCAATTCAAGGTATTGGGTGTCTAGACCCAGTGAGGACCTAGTGAAAGTGAGGGACAGAAATACCTTGCTTTAAAGGCCTATGGTCCCCCTTCCAGTCCCCATGTGGGATCAGGGCTCTGGGTGCTGCTTCTCAGGTGGATGTGTTGGGTGTCTCAGGACAGAATTACCCAGGATGATGAGCAGGGGACCATGTAAAGAAAAAGCCAGAGGGAGTGGTGTTCCAGACCCTGCGGATCTCTGAGGCTTGATATTCACAGGCTGAAAAAGGAAAGCAAGAAGTGATATAAGTGATACAACCTTGTTGTGTAGTGGCTTGGGCTCCCTATTGGGAGGGGAGGCTGGGGATTCCTGTCCCTGTTCCCACTACACTTTCTGCCTCTTATCCATTGACTGTTTCGTTTACAAGCAGGGCTCATCCTGAGGTGAAAAAGAAAAAGAAAAAAAAAAAAAAAAAAACACAAACCCGAAGGACTTGTTGGTTTCTTTCCAATGAAATGATTCAGGACGATTAATTAAGGGATGAGTTTGCCATATGAGTTATAGATGTTCATTTCCTCTGTCTGTACTCTTAAATAATTTTTTTTTTAATGTTAGATGCCTATCACACAATATGCAGTGAGTTGTAGCTACTTACTTTTCTTAAAGTGCATTGAGGTTGCCAGATGAAAGGCAATAAAGGAAAACAGTGTTGTTTCTTAAGATCAGCAACTTATGGCTTGCTGCAAATCTGGTTGTGTTGTTGTATCAATACTACAGTGAGAATTTCTGCCTAGGTTGTGATCAGCTACTAAGATTGCAAGAAAAACATATTATTTGGCAGTGACAGGTGTGTTATTTAATTCTCTTTTCTTGCTGGCATTCTAATCAAACCCTTTATTTGGAAGGAACTGAAACATCTTATCCTGGAGGCTGCAGATGGATTCCTGTTTGTAGTTGCAGCTGAGACGGGAAGAGTCATCTATGTATCAGATTCTGTGACTCCCGTGCTGAACCAGCCACAGTCTGAATGGTTTGGAAGCACTTTGTATGAACAAGTTCATCCAGACGATGTGGAAAAGCTGCGAGAGCAACTATGTACATCTGAAAACTCTATGACAGGTCAGATATGTCTGATGTATCGTTCTGTGTGCTATGGATCCCTGCAGAGTTTTTCTGATATTCAAAATGTCTGTTTTAAAAATGAAATTCAACAAGATAAAACTGCATTTTCTTGCAGACAGTGCAGTAATGTAAATCTTTTGTGTGACTACATTTGCTTCCTATTTGTTTGACTTCAGTTAAGCCACCTTTATGTAGCTCTGCCTTCAAACTTTTGGTTTGGGTAGGTTTGGAATCTGGATTGTTTTCAGGCTTGGTCTGGAAATCTTGATTGTTTTCCTTTCATCCTCAATGAACTTGTGACTTCCTTACAAATATGTGTTTCTTTAGGGCAGTGTTTATTTTGAAGACAAAAATCATACTTCAGACTTTTCCATTTTCATAAAAGTTCCTTGCGGTTTGCTAACGGGAATCCTGGGGAAAAAATCCAGTGTTTGGCAGCTGAAAATCTAGTGGATTTTTAACGGGAGACTTGCTCCTGCAGCAGTGGTGTAAATTAGCTGTAAGTTGACTACCTATCATTTTGTATGTACAACCAAACCGTATTTATATCTTCAGTATATCTCTGACTTTTACATTTATTCATGGTCAAGACTGCCAATAGGAAACTACCCATGTCTTTAATAGAGTATGTGTATGTTAGATCTAGGAGAATTAGCTACATCTTGTTTTAACTCAAACTTGGAAAGGAGGAAACCCAGTTTCTCTTTTTACGCTTCCACATAGTATATTTATAGCTAAAGGAAAAAATCTAGGGGAAAGTATTTATAACAAAATACTGATCCATGCAAAAGTCACATAATTTCTTCTTGCTTTAGTAATTCAGAATTCTGACCTGGTTTGCTGGAAGTTTTGCTCTGTTTCATAACCTAAAGGACAGCGATCCAGTTTTGAGTGAACCTGTACACTGTTTACAGCTTCCATGTCAAAACAGTGCCAAATTCATGATTTCCTGTGGTTTGAATGTGATGTGGTTTTGGCAGAGCTTTCATGTATTCAAATTGGAAACTCAAAGCAAAATTCTGTGGTGAAAATCCAGATGGATCAAAACCAAGCGAACAGTTAGGGGAACCTGTGCAGAGCAAAACAGCTGAGTTTCATACCGTGAGACCTGCAAAAGATCACAACTTCTGTTTTTATTATGTATCATGTAATGCATTTCAATGTATGTACCATCTTCCTCCGAGAAACAGTTACTCCAGAGCCTCAGTCAACAGTCATGTTTCGACTTCTAAATGTGCGTGGCTATGGGGCTTAACATGCTCAAACTAGAGTAGGACTAGACAAACACAGAGCACTTCTGAAAACCCAACTCCGTATTTTTTCCAGTTTTAACTACGTGCCTTTCTTTTACACTGAATTGATCTATAGCCAGTGGAAAGAGACGTTCAAATAATAGTATTTATAGGGCTAAATCTTTTCCCTGCCTGAGTCTTTTGGAGTTGTCAGATTGACACAGAAGGCCCATAAATCTCCTGTACGTGGACAGCTGAACATTTTCCCAGTGGGAGGAAAGCATCAGCCTGCTTAGAGCCAGGGTAACCTGCTTAGCTACACTCTTTAAGGTGCCAAGGCAGGCTGGATGTAGAAAGGTGCTTTTCAGAGACTGGGGAGTGTGTATAGTTACAGCTGTTCCAAGCAAGTGCAAGTAAGAACAGTGCGTAATTGGCCCTAACTACATAGGGCACATCGTGTGAGTTTTCCTTTACGAAATGATTGTGATTACATGTACAGTGCAATTTTTTGGCCAGCTGAACATCTTACAAACCATAAACACAATCATCATTCTGCTTCTGAATCAAGCATAGACATGTAGTTGTATGTACATCATCTCTTATAAGATCACTATAGAACAGATTTTTAAGGTGTCTGCTGCATTTTTCTAGCTTTTTATTAAAATTAGTTTAAAGCGAGTGACATAATAATATATATAATACAGTCCTTTTTGAGTAGTTTTGTTTTAAAGATGTGACTAGTGAAGTACATTTAGTTAGTATACTAGTAATTTTGTCAGCCAGTGGAGGATATACATAAACAGAAGATTCTAGATTTGTTATATTCAGCTTGCATTTCCTTGACCCTGTGAGGTACCATTAAATAAGAGAGGCAGTCTTCTACAAGGACTCTAAGTCCAGCATCAGTTTGCTTATAAACTGCATGCAGCAGGACTTCAGCAGCATCATTCTTGCTCCTTTGAGATACCTCTATGGGAGCAAGGTGATTCTAGAGTCTGCTCGACCAGTTACACTTTCCTTTCTGTAACACAATCCATATTGAGAGTAGCAGCTTTTATAACAGGTAGGAATAAAACAAAATACTGCAGTGAACAGAAATAATTGGTGCCTTAGTGACATTTTAAAAGAAGTGAAGTAGGCAAATGCCTAAGTCGGTGTTTATCAAACCATTTGGACAGCCCCCAATTCTCTCTTGGCTTTCTAAAGTTATGTTTCATGCAGAACAAAGGGCAACGCAGAGCTTGAGAGAGATGCAAACCACAAGCCAGCCAGCTGCATTTGACATTTTTCCTGCTTAGAGTGGAATTCACTGCAGGCAGCAGGAAAATCCTCATCTTTTAGTGACCTCTGACTGTTGAGCACAGGATCTACTTAGGGAAAAGAAGATATTTGCAGGTGAAAGTGTAATGATATGTTATATAATTTTTAATTTTACTCTCTTCCTCATCTTCTCAGGGTCCATTTTCTCAACCCTATAACCTCCTCCTTCAGCCCTTGAACTGGGGAAACAGTGACAGCATCGTGACAAAGGCGAAACTTCACTTGCCTTGCATCAGATAGTGTCCTTTGGTCATATTTGTTTGTCCTGATGCAAGCACTGAGCATTAGCACTGCACTGCTGGGGTTTTCCCAGCACCTCTTAGCAATCCTGCTACCCAGAGAAGCTGCTCCAGACCCTGAGGACTTGGGAGGCTGCCATTGCCAAAGGGGAGTGACAGAGAACAAGCCAGTGGAGAAAGCAGGCTCCCTCTCACATTTCTGCCCCCAGGAATAAGACTGGGACTGGGGCTATGGTTGCATGAGCATTTTTTGGCAGTCACACCAGCTTATGCAATCCTCACCTCATCTCACCCTCTCCTCCTTTGGCATTTATGTGATACTACAATGAGTCACATTAAGGGGGCTGACCCAGCTGAAAGCTAAGCTAAGCAAAAACCCCTTGTTTCTGGTAGAGACAGCTCTTTGGCCCACCTTACATAGGGTTGCTTGAACTCTTGTGATAACACCAAGGAGAACTGGGAAGTGAAGAGTTAAGGATAAGGAGAGGACAGGGCTTCGGGAGCAGTAAAAGCATATGCCAAATTGAAGTGGCTGTTTAACTGTGGCCTAAACCATGTAGTGTGTTTGGGGAGTTAATGGCTTGCTCTATTTTTAACTCTCAGGATATGGGTAAGGATGGATAGTTTCTATTGCATTTTATATCCTTGGAGATTTTATTCCCTGGAAATGGAACAATTGTCTGCTTGTTTATTGTACATTAATTGCTAACACATTGTAACAACAGGAAAGCTGAACCATGAAGTGTATGTACGATTTGAAATGCTCTAGAAAAGACAGCAGCTGAGACTTGATGATAGCAGCAAATAGTGCTCCCAAGAAGTCTTTACATGCGTCATGGGCATGATTAATCAGAATGGGGCAGATATCCAGAGTAATAATTTATTTTCCCTCTTTCTTCTTGGAAATCTGCAGATGGGAAAACAAATCACTTCAAATATGGGTGAAGATCAGATCCCACAGTAGGATCCATTAGAAAAGACCTCTTTGCCCTTAGGATGCACTGATGAAACTTGATGGATGTTGGGTTCAGATGTAGGTTCAGAGTTAGAAGTTGTATGAAGGGCTGACTAACACACAGTACAGTGGAATTCTAATGCAAGCGAGAGCCTCTAAACAGTCGCAGACAAGAACTCTCTCATGACACAGAGAACAGACAGAACTTAGATTTGAGTGTGAAGAAAAACAGCTTTTAAAGAATACCTCTGCTACATTTACTCTCCAAAAAAATGACTGAGCAAGTATTGTGGTAGGCTGTCATACTGTTAAAATAGTGTTTCAGAACACTTTGCCAGACTGATTTCTACCGGTCTAATTCTCCGTAAGTTCATAAAAGAGTAGAATGAGGAATATAAATATCTCTGTATGGTTGCTTGGAAATACTCCAAGTGATTCCATGATGTGTCTAAGATATGCTTGTCAAGGCTGTGAGGTCCCTGTTCCTGCAGCCAGCATTGCCAAATGGGAAACACCCAAGTTTATTATATTAAATTCTGAGTTCCAAGCAGCATAGCAAATAGTAATCCAGCTATTATGTCTTCCTTCAGCCTCCTCTCTATACCTAAGGCGAGGCAGGGGCCAGCATATATAATCTCATCCATGGCACAAAGCCTCCTCGGGACATTCAGGATCAGAAGGAGTCCTTGCAAACTGTTTTAGCTGAGTAGTTAAGGGGTACTGAAACGGCAGACCTGTGACTGCAAGAAAATGATGAGAACCAGAACCTCTACAGCTTTCATTTTCAAGGAATAAGTCAATTTGCTTGCTAGCTGAAAAAAGATTAATTGAGGTTACTCCTGGACAGAACTTGTATGCCAGGTTTAATCTTGACATGATATTTTATTGCCATATTTTATAAGTACAAAAAAGTAGAACTTTATGATGGAAATGGTGACTGACCACAGTTGAGCAGGTACCTTCTTAGAAGAAAAGACCATTGTGTGACAACATGTGGTTCATGAATGTTATGGAAACACCACTCCATGTTACACAAGCAGAGATTTGGATTGGGGAACCTGTCTCACAGAACCTTCAAATAATATGTTGTCTTGCAATGGTTTCAGCATGGGCACTTTTCCGTCCAACTGCAAAGCTTTCTGTTACCAAGCACAGTTTGTGGTCACAGCCACAAAATCCAGATGCTGTACATAAAGTCAAATTGTCTGTAAAAATGAAATAGTATTAAACTCAAAAGAGGGCACTGTCAGA